AGCCAATGCACAGTGTATTTTGGATGGAAAATTCATTTGTGTGTTGTGATGGTGTATAGTGAATTAATGTAGAAGATGAATAAATTTAAAATAAAAAAAGATTAAAAAAAGTAGATAATATGATATTCTGTCTTCGTATGTAAACAATATTTATAAATATTCCTTAGTTGACTGAAAGCACAGTATAGTTTAGTTTTTTCTTTTTTAATGTAGTACATATGTGTATTATCAATTCTTAGTTGTGTTTATTTTTCCTAATTTTTATTCTCAATCCTTCTGAGGAGCTTGTATCAAAATTTCTCTCTGTGATTGTGTTTACATCAATTTCTGTTTGCATTTCTCTCAATTTTGCTTTATTTTTGGCAGTTACTTTGTTAGGTGTATAAAGGTTCATGAATCTTTTTTTTTTTTTTTTTTTTGAGAGATTTTTGCTTCAGGGTGCTTGCAGAGAGACAGAAAGCGAGAAATCACCCTCAAGGGGGGATGGCCATGCCACAATCTCTTCTCCTCTCAGGATTTTGGATATGCATGCACTCGCGCCTGGCGTAAGTTTTAAGCTGCCAGGGCAAGGACTTGAACCACGATTGACCATGTGGAAGTCCAGCAACATAATCATTACACCATCGGCTGGTCTTGAGGTTCATGTATCTCACAAGTGAATTACACTTTTATCATTAAGTATGGTCTAATGATATTCTATTATACTATTGCCTTGACATTGATTTTGAACGATACTAGCAGTATACCACCTTTACCTTGGTGAGTGTTGGTTGTTACATGTGTTTATCTATACACCTTCCACTTCTCAGTGTCATGTTTTAAATATGTCTCTCATAAATAGCACATAACTGGATTTTTAAACCCCAGTCTCACAGTGTCTTTCAGTGGGCTGATTATTATTTTTACCAATGTATTTAGCTTTACTTTTGATGAGTTATTTTATATTTTCTCTTTCCCAACCTTTTCTTTGCCTTTTTAATTAAAAGCATTCTAATTCCCTTTTGGTGGATTGACACAGTTTTCTTTATATACTTTTTCCTCCTCCTAGCACAGAAGAATCTTTCTAAGTAGTATGTAACCAAAATTTTTAATAGGCACTTGCGACTTAACAAAATCTTAAGGAAATACTATCTCCACTTCAAAAGATGAGGCAGACAAAATAATTTAACTACATTTTTTCTCCTTACAAGTCTTCTGTTAATGCTGTCTAGCATTTTACTTCTGCCCTAAACTTGTTCAACAGTTTATTTAATCATCTCATTGTACTCATATTAATCAACTTTTTTTTTTAATCACAGTATTCGGCTTTGCTCCTTGAATATCATAGCTTCCTTATGGGTCAAATTTTCTACTTATCAAAGCACACTGATATGTAGGGCTTTGTAATGAAGCTCTATTATTTTGTCTGGAATAGCAGTAATAAACCTCTATTTTCTGTCTGAAAGTGTTTTTATTTTACTTTGTCTGATTACAAAAATTGAAAAAAAAAATCAATTTAGAATGTTCCTAAACACTTTCAATATATTTCATTGCCTCCTGTCTAATGTAAAGTTTACTGATATACATTTGAAGACAGTCTACACATTACTCTGGAAATAAAGACTGAAACTTTAAAGACTGTGACTTGCCATGTGGTGATTTTAATGCATCAAGTACTTATTTAGTTAGTTAGTTAGTTAGTTAGTTTAGTTTAATTTAATTTGCCATAGAGCATCTGCTCTTGCTGGAGAGAGACAGAGAGGAAGACACAGATGGAAACTGAAGAATCACCCCCCACGGCGGGGGTGGCCACACCACAATCCCTTCTCCTCCTGTCACTGCTCAGAATTTTAAGTATATACACACATGTACCCAGCATGATTTCCAACCTACCAAGTCCAAGGCTTGAGCCATGTTGGACTCATGTGGTGTCCAACACCTTAATTACTATGCCACCTACTCACTCTCAGATTTTTTTTTTTGAGAGGTTTTGGCTATAGGGTGCGTGCACTCACCAGACAGACAGAGACAGAGAGATAGAAAGCGAGAAATCACCCCCCCAGAGGGGATGGCCATGCCACAATCCCTTCTCCTCCATTCTCCTCTCGGGATCTTGGGCACACACACACACGTGCCCGGTGTGATTTTAAGCCACCAGGTCCGGGACACGAACCATGGTCGACTACGTGGGAGTCCAGTGACATAGCCTTTATGCTAACTGCTGGTCCCTCAGATTTTTTTTTTAATCAGTACAATTCTTAGTCTGAAATTTCATTACTTTTTTATTTCTAGAAAATTCCAATTGTTATCCCTTCAAACATTCTCTAGTTCTTTCTTTCTAACTTCTCTTTCTGAAATTCTTATTAGATAGATGCTAGTTCTCTTCATTGTAGTCTCCATGTCTCTTAACCACTCTGAAACCTGGTATACTCCCATACATCTACTTTCTGATCCTCTAATTCTACCTTTGCTTGCATCTAATCAGTTTTTAACCAGCTCATCCAGGCACCCTGAAGTCGGCATAGAAGTTATCTCCATAGGATATGAAAAGGATGCGATAATGAAGGGACATTCAGTAGCTTCTAATGAATTAGCAATAATTTTTTCTTAGTCTGTTTTATTTTAAACAGATTATTTGTTTAAAATCATTTACTATACTTTGTTTCATGTACTCTCAGCATATATATTGTTTTTCATAATAAATACTCAAAAATAAATAATTAGTAATATATCACTTGTTATAATATTTTTGTCATAAACTCTTCCTGTTCAGCTTTATATTTTAATGAAATGGACCTTTCTACATACATTTCATCTTTCCTTAATTTTACTTCTTCTGTTTTGGATATCTTTGTTTCCTTTCAAATGTATCATCGCTTCTTTAGCTATTATCATTTGAAACTTTTATGTCATAAGTTCCATCAGGCAATATATTTTTTTTGGAGAGGATTTTGCTATAGGGTACATGCACTCACCAGACAGACAGAGAGAGAGAGAGAGAAAGCGAGAGATCACCCCCCAGGGGGGATGGCCACGCCGCAATCCCTTCTCCTCCATTCTCCTCTTGGAATCTTGGGCAAGCATGCACATGCACCCGGCGTGAGTTTTAAGCCACTGGGTCCAGGACACGAACCGCGGTCGACTACATGGGAGTCCAGCGACATAGCCATTACGCTAACTGCTGTTCCCAATCAGGCAATATATTTTTTTTTTACTCATTCTTCTCTAAATACTAGTCAGTACTTCGGTAACCTTGAACACATCATACTTTCACTTACATTATAAGAAGTCAGAGCAAGCAGTTTTAAGACATTATTATCAGAGATTTCTGTTTCTCAAATGCCATTGAACAATCTCAAGATGGAAACAAATTCAAGGCTCCTATCAGTTGAAATCTTCCTCCTGAGCAAGAATCAAGATTTAATAGTACTTATGATTGCTGTCTATTCAAGTTATTTTTAACCTAAGCTTACTAGTTTTCTGCAAGAATTAAAAACACGTTTTAGGGAACCAGCAGTTAGCATAATGGCTATGTCGCTGGACTCCCATGTAGTAGACCGCGGTTCACATCCCAGACCCAGTGACTTAAAACTCACGCCGGGCGCGTGTGCGTGCGTGCCCAAGATCCCGAGAGGAGAATGGAGGAGAAGGGATTGAGGCGTGACCATTCCCTCTGGGGGGTGATTTCTCACTTTCTGTCTCTCTGTCTCTCTCTGTCTGTCTGGCGAGCGCACACGCCCTATAGTGAAAACCTCTCCAGAAAAAGAAAAAAAAAAGGTTTTATAAGCAAGGCTGAATTTCTGTCTACAATTAGATACACAAATTATATACAAAAAGTGTACAAGCTATATATCATAGTTTATATAGTATAATATACAATTTGCAATTATATATTTTAAACTATATACATAATATATCAAAGTATTTTATAAAGATAATCATAAAAATTCGGAGTTGATTATACACATGACAGAAGAAAATGAAATTTTGTGTGAGAACAGGAGAGACACATGAAAACCATGATACCTGTCAATAATGTAATTAATGATAGTATAGTTGTTCAAGCAATAGCTTTGAATTTCACTGGGTATGTATTTCATTTTATGTGTGTATTTCATGTTTCTTGCTTTTATGCCTTATTTAGCACTTTTATATTAACTTTTTTTAAAGTTTGATTTAAAGTGCTGGACTCCTACATGGCTGACTGAAGTTTGAGTTCTGGACCCGAACCTTGAAAATCACGCCAGGTACATGTGTATGCATGCCCAAAAATCACAGGAGGAGAACGGAGAAGGGTTTGTTGCTTGGCCATCCCTCCTGGGGAGTGATTTCTCACTTTCTTTCTTTGTCTCTCTCTATGGCGAATACACACACCCTATGGCAACAAGAGTTACATCTTGGGATTCCCACATGGCCGACCATGGTTGGAGTCCCCGATCTGGTGGTGTGAAACTCACGATGGGCAAATGTGCGTACAGGCCCAAGATCCTGGGAGGAGAAAGGATTGCAGCATGGTTATCCTCTGTGGGGGATGATTTCTCACTTTCCCTCTCATTGTGCCTGTCTCTCTCTCTCAACCCAGCGAGCAAGCACAGTTGCCTTAAGACAAAAAACTGCAAAGAAAAAAAAAAAAAACTAAGACAAAAGTTTGGGATTACTATTTAATTTTATACTCACAGGTTTTTAGACTCATAGGCTCTATTTCCTCATTGAGCACAGTGAGAACAAAATAAATGACTATGGTTTTAAATAATGTTGCATATCTTTTGTTGCCAATTCACTTACATAGTCCCATTGCAATGTTAAATATGAAATAACAATTTAAACCTAAAATAATTTAGGAAGCATTGTATCAAATACCATTCAGATTTTAAACATACTAATTTGTTATTAACTACAACGTTTACTTCTAGCAATAATACAAACGCCCCATAATTTCTTCTCTAGATCAATGAAGTGAGAAGCAAGGATCACAGAAATCAAAAGCAGAATTATAACACGAGCCTGTTTTCGATTCTTACTTGTTATGTATCCAAGTTATCTTAGGTTTGGGGCTTCCTTCAGCCCAGCAAGTAAAATAGACAGTGTTTCCCGATGTGACCTCCACGTCTTGGGGCTCAAAAGTAATTAGGGGACTCTCTGTAGCAAAGCAATCATTAATATATTTTCAAAAACATGAAATTATAGCATTCTAAGATATCATTGAAAAAGAGCCATAAGTAATTTTTTTTTCTACTTTAAAGCTTTATACATCAAATGACATTTACCCAGTAACCTGTGTGCCCATTTAGACATCAGATGTGTATTTGACTTAGACTTTAAAACTTCATGAGAATCACTATGTACAGAAATATCCAATGAAGTAAACGAAGTAAATTTCCCTGTGCTTTTAGTTCTAGTAGTTCAATACACTCATATTTATGGAAGGACTTTGATTTTATGGGTCAATTTCTCAAACCGAGTACTTAAATTGAGGTTGCAATTTTGCAGGCACCTAGAAAATTAGCCATCTAACTTTCCCCTTATACAATTTACAAGAATTTATATGTCTAGACCTTAAACCCGGTTAAGCCAAATTGCTTATCAATATAAATGAGTGATCTAAAACATGTAAATTATTTTAATAAGGAAGTAGAGTGATTGATTTTTTAATAAATCAGGTAATACTAAATTTAATTTACCGGTGGCAATGCACAAAGGAGACTCTTACTTGTCTATAGTAAGTTTCATCTGATTCTCGTTGTAACACTCTAAATGATGAAACTCTCCCTTTTCTAAGTGCATTATTTGAGATGTCCTGTCATTGGCCAATAATCATACCTATTAGGTCTGAAAAACACTACATGGATCTTAAATAAATCTTACCTACTTTATTAGAAGTTCATATGCTCTACTTTTAGACTTTACCCTTTTTAGAAAAATGATTTTATTTATTTTTTTTTAATTCATCATCAACAATGTGTTGGCCACAGTGCTGCTGGTGATAGAACAGTGATCAAAACGGACCAGTGTTGGTACCCCTGGGTTCCTAGTATCATTGAAACGAGTGAAATTCAACAAACACACACAACTATATTGAACTAAGAAAGAATATAAGCAATGTTTTGATACTGGGTTGTTGAAAAAAGTCATGACACATTTTTGCAAATAAAAACAGAAAAAGTATGTCATGACTTTTCTGACAACCCACTGGATTTCGAGAAGGGACCTGATTCAATGTGCATGAGTGTGTGTGTGGTAGGGAGTAGGTAGGTGGGGATGGGTTAAGGGAAAGTCCTTTCAAGTAATTAATGTTTAGGAAGAAGGCCATTGAAAGAAGAGTTGGAGGAAGAACACTGCAGGCAGAGAAAACAGCATGTGGACGTCCTTGAGATGTAGAAAAGGCTGAAGAACTTTCCAGAAGGGCCAGAACATTGTGGTGTCCACACCCCTTAGCAGAGGAGAGTGCGGAAGGAAGGGAGCTTACAGAGCACAGCCAGGGACTAACCCGCCAGAAATGCCCACCCCTCTAAGGATCCTGTGTTTTATTTTAAGGCTATGAAATGCTATAGAAAAGTTGTGGTTCAAAGGTTTTTTGATTTGGACAGGGTGCACACACTCACCGGAATCATATAATCAGATGTTTTTTAAGAAAGCCTTCAAATATAAGAGTGGAGAGGGAACATGGGAAGCTGAGACATGCAATCCAGGCGAACCTGGTGGCAGTGTGAATAGAAGTTGGTAGAGAAGACAGGAGTGTGGCCATCTGAGACTTTTTGGTAATAAGGCTCAAGTCATTTCTTTTTTTCCAATCTGAATAGAAGTGAACTATATTAATAAGATTTTTTTCAAATTATAAGTTAAGAAAATTTTTTTAATGATTTTTCAGTAAAATGTATTAGAAAGTGTTGTTTTTTGTTTGTTTGTTTGTTTGTTTTAGATTTACTTATTTAGGTGCCAGCAGGTGGCATGGTGATTAAGGGTGCTGGACTCCCACTTGGCCGACTGTGGTTTGAGTCCCAGACCTGGAGTCTGGCTTTCTCACTTTCCCTCTCTCTCTCTCTCACTCTCTCCATTCTGTCCCTCTCTGGTCAAATTAAAATACATAAATCAATAAAATTAAATAAAATAATTATTTGTAAAAAGACGTATTTATTTCATTTATCATTATTATTTTTTTTAATTTGCTATTGGGCACACACATTCACCAGACAGAGGCAGAAAGAGAGAGAGAGAGTGAGAAAGCCAGCCACCAGGTCTAGGACTTGAACTATGGTTGACCATGTAAGAATACAGCGCCTTACCCATTGTGCCACCTGTAAGCAATCATCTGAGTGAATTTCCAAGCTCAATTATCTACCACACTCCAACACACACACACACACACGCACACGTGTTTATGTCTGTATGTAATTATTACTTTAGTCATATTTATAGTCCCATTATATATTAAAAACGAAAACACAAAAAGATGAATGGATTTGTTGGGGGGAGGTTCTTAGCGGAGAATGGTAGCAATAATTTGATCCGAAGTCAAGGGGCCTAATTATTGTCACAGCACTGGGTGACACAAAGGGGAGGGAGACGGCTTGCGACCTGTTGAACAGTCATCTTAAAACATCGTCTCTGAAATTGTGCCGGTTGGTTTAAATGATTATAATGCCAAAAACATTCTTAGATAAATTTGCAGATGACAGAAAGGAAGACAGACATGCGTTTTTACTGACAACGTTCCCTTCCAACCCTAAGGCCATTTAGTCCCCTTCACAGGAAGAAGACACGCACAGAAAGCCACGTACCGCAGCTGAACTCCTCGGCCGTCAGGGACGCAACCCGGCAGCCCCGCAGCCACCCCAGGTACTCGCACGTGGCAGCCGCCTGAGTTTGGCCACTCCGGGCGGAACCCCCCCCCCAGCCACTGCAAGTCACAGTCACGCACCAGCGCGTTGGAGTCCAGGCGCCTGTGCATGCGGGCGAGAAGTACAGCTGTGACAAGTGCTCACGCGGGTGACGAGTCTGTCCTCTAGGCACCTGGCCGGTCACACTTCCACTGCAGGATCTCTAGCTGCCAATACACAGACTTTACGAATTTCTTAGCTGCATATTTTACCCAGAGCAGATACACATTCCCGCATGAGCAGTCACTCTAAGGCTTGAAAAGCAGTTTCCACTTAACATGCCTTCTACCAGGGGCCTTCAAAGAGTTGGTGGGAAGTGGAGTCGGGAGTTGGGTGGTGGGGCGGTGGAGTACAGCGCCCCCTGGTGACCGCGGAGAAGGCTCGCAGTTCTCACCGGAGAGGCCTCCCTGGGGGCACTGGGTATGTGGGTGCCTCTGATTCAGGGGTGGCTGGGACTGGCACTGAGACCGACCTCTAGAGGATACCTCTCCCTCTCTCACCTCTCTCTCGAGCTCATGCATACACGTGTGTAAATACTTATAAAAGATATTGAAAACAAGCTTAAGAAGAAAAATGCAGGCCAACAGGTGGCAGGGAGTTAAGGTGTGAGACTCCCCATGGCTGACCGCAGTTAGAGCCTTGGACTCAGTGGTTTGATAGTCACACCAGGCAGGTGTGCGTGCCTGCCCCAAATCCTGAGAGGAGAATGGAGAAGGCGTTGGGGCATGGCCATTCCCACTGGAGGGGGATGTCTTACTTTCCCTCTCTTTCTCTTCTGCAGGCACATGTACCCTGTGAAAAAGACATAAAGAGGACAAACTCCTCCCTCATAAAAAGAAAAATGAAATTGAAATGTAAGTTCATCTTGGTTCCCCAAAGTGGAAATCCATACACAGTTTTTTCGTAGTACTCGTTTTCCTGGAACTTGTTGGAGACCCCTCGTACAGATTATAAGTAAACAATTAGGAGATAAAATGGCACGTATTTGTTTTAGAGAATACTGAGAATTAAAGCGTAAGGACTGGAATGTCAGTTTGCTTTACATGTAGGGACAGAGAAGCTGCGACGTGGTGGTGTTTCACCTTCGTCCTAGGAATTTCTTAAAGGAAACAGCAGAAGCTTTATGGCTCCAAGGGCGCTGGTAGGCGGTGTGTGATTTATGCAGCGGCCGGAGGCGACTTGCTCTGCCCTCCTGTCAGCCTCCGTGGCGTCAGCATGGACAGGCAGGACCGTGTTTCCAGCCTGCCCGAAAGGACAGAGGCTGGACCTCTATGATGCTGTCTTTGTGCCATTTACTAATCCAGGTAAAAGTTATGGGTTTTTCCAAGTTTTACATTTCCCTAATTATTTTTTCCTTTCTTTCTCATGAAGTAAAATTTATAGTCAAAGAGAGCCGAAAGACACATCGTCAAATAGCACGGAAATGATAAGGTGCCTCTCATCCTACCAAGGGCTAACAGGGAGCATGGGGGCCGGCAGGTGGCAGGGTGGTTAAGCGCTGAACTCCCACCTAGCCAGCCAGGCGTTGAGTCCCAGACTTGGTGGCTTGACAATCACACAGAGCGCATGTGCACACATACCCAAAATCCCAAGAGGAGAACAGAAGAGAAGGGATTGCGGCACGGCCATTCCCTGGGGCTGATTTCTCACTTCCCCTCTCTATAGCTTTCTCTTTCTGGCGAGTGCACATATCCCATGGCACAAAAAGGAAGAAAAAATAGAGAGAGAGGGAATATCAGTCAATGGAAAGCACCAGTGTGTCTGTGGTGGCAGTCGGGTCACTCTCCACACAAGAAAACTGCAGTGACAAAAAAGATAGTATGAATACGTCTCTAAGAGGGAGGGCAGTTATGCTGCTTCACACCTTCCTGTAATAAGCAGTGTTCTGTGTAACTTGATCAGACTAGAAAATGCTATAATTTTTAAAATATCATTAGTGAAGATCTTACATGCAAAATAAGTCCTAAAAGTTTTGGGGGCAAAAATGAAATCTAAAGAGTCGATGTGCACGTAAAATGGAAACTTACTTAGCCATGTGAATTTAGGAATTTACATCAGATCGGGGTAGTGAAGAATGAGGTATAAACTTTGATGGTCACCTGTTCAGACATTGTTCCTTCCATTATCCTTGCTGACTGACTGCCCAGATCAGCTACTTGGTAAAGAAACTGATCCACGACAGCATTCCTGTGTTCCAAGTTCACATTTACGCTTGAGTTTAATTTCTGGTAATTTTATCCAGGAGAATTTATAGTTATTAAATATTAAGGAGCAGGTTTTTATTTCAGTAACCCCGTGACATTTCTCTGAATTGAACACAAGCAAGAACGTGGACGTGATCCCTTGAGAACACTGTAAGCCTGAGACCCTAACATTCCAGAAGGTTCCATCTCCCAGAGACAGAACTGATTACTGAAGAGCTCTCCGTTCACTAGTCAGTGACCCCATGTGCCCTGAAGCATCCTCGTGCCTGTGTGTTTCCGTAAGAATTACACCCAGACATAATTTCTCCTTTGTGTTAGTAATGACTTCAGTTACTACATTCACCCGTAGTGGGAACACAAATGTGAATAAACAACTAGAGAACATATATTTTTCATTTGCCCTTGAAAATGTATTTTGTATTTGAAAAGTAGCATAGTACTAGCTCTGTACTTTGGTATAACAACCTGTTTAGAGACTCTTTATGGAGTATTTCCAAATATATAATGAGAAAGCATTTTTTTTAATGTTCTTCTAATTTGGAACCATGAATTTTGAAAAATAAAAGCGATGGAGCAAGTCGCCAAGAACAGGGTGGTTGTAAACTCTGAGACCCTAACAGCTACTAGTCATGCGCTGCGTTTGAGGCATCACCATTTCGTCGTTCTCCATCCTGAAAGTTTCCTTACATAAATGTCACACCAATCACGGCAAATAAAAGGCAGGTGTTCCAGCCGTGGTGGGCAGCAGTAGCACACCTCGCCGCAATGCTGGGAACTGTGTGGAACTGCGGTTTGGTGCTTGGGTTGTGACCTGCACGTCCCGTGATCCTGGCTGGAGAGAGGATGGTAACACACAACCATACTGCTGAGCGTGCTTGTCTTTCTCCTCTCTCTTATGAAAGGAAGAAACTAAAAAAATAAATAAATAAAGACTAAAATGGGACAGCTGGTTGCATGGTGGTTAGGGAAACTGAATTTCACATGGATGACTGCATGGTTCGAGTCCTGGATCCAGTGGCTTGAAATGCACATGAGGTGTGTGTGTGTGCATGCCCATAATCCCAAGAGGAGAAGGGAGGAGAAGGGATCACAGATCACCATGTGGCTGTATCTCTGGGGAGTGATTTCTCACCCTATAGCAAAAATCTCTCTAAAAAAAGACAAAAAAAAAAAAACACTAGTTTTGAAAGCCAGTGTATGGTGTGGTGGTTAAAGTGCTGGTCTCTTACATGGCTGACTATGGTTCAAGTCCCGGAACTGGCGGCTTGCTTTCTCACTTTCCCTCCCTCTCTCTCTCTCTGGTGAGCACATGTGACTGATAACAGATTAAAAATAATAACAATAAATAAGATAATTCTTTAAAAAAAAAAACAAAAAGAAGCATTCGTCTTCACAGTAGGCTCTGAGTTAGAACCGTCTGGTACAGGGCCTGCAGCAGTGCATGGTGGTGAAGCAGCATGGCATGCAGGGCCCACGTGAGGTGCCTGTGTGTGGGTCTTTCCCTCATGAAATAAACTCTTAACAACTGGCGTGGTACAGATGGAGAACTGATGTCAGGAGATCCGTGAGTTGTCACAGTACAATCAAGTGTCGTGGAAGCAAACGGGACTCACACCAGTTTCCCGTTTCTCTGCCTGCCACGTGAGACCAGTGAGCCCACACCCTTCCTGTGGCTGAAGAACTTCCTTGCTGAGGTGGAATTCATCTGGCCCTGGGAGATGCTCCTCTCTCAGCCCGCTATGACCCAGCTGTGGTCTTCCTCTTCTAAACTACAGCCTGAGTAGGACACGCGTGTGAGGGTTTGGAGTCAGCAGGCACCAGGCCTGGTGTGTCTTAGCCCCATCCGGGGCTCGTGGGCCCGGGCAGCTGGCTTCAACGCGATTGCCTGTCAGTTTCCCATCCACAAAATAAAGACACTTCATCAAGTAATAAGCTGACAAAAGGGCCTGGGAATGTCGGAATCAGCACAGTGCGCATGTGTAAGACACACCCTGACGCATCACCGCAAACACGGCCCTCGGCCTGCTTGTATGGGTACTGATTCTGGTATGTGTCTTCTAGCATTAGAGTGGATCTTGTTTCAATAAATATAAGCGATTGGAACAGAAATGCTGCTATAGATTGAGCAGGAAAGAATAATACAGATTAGAAGAAATTCAGGGGTTCGGCACTTTAAGACTTTCTGAGCATCTTAGAGGCCAAGAATGACACCCAGGCAGAAATCTTTGTAGACAAGAGACACTGCGTGGAAATTATAATTGCGAAAATGCAAAGACAGTGACTCTAATCATAAGTGACCTAACAAATCTAACAAAAGAGAAAGAGGGTGAGTTAAAAATGAAACGCACGTCCACGGCCCCACTTAATACATACCGAATGTCTGCACTCTATGGCAGAGACAGAAATGTCGGAGGGCAACTGTGGACACCCTAGTGTGTGGGGGAGGAGGGGGGGAAACGAGGGGGTCAGGCGAGAGGGAGGGAGTCAAGGGACAAAAAGCACAACATTTAAGAGACACAAAAATGGAAAAATATCCATTGATGATAACGCGTACGGCAGTATCTTTGACTAGACTGATATACAGTGTATTCGTGTTGGGGAAATTCATTTTGTATGCTGTAAAGATATACAGTGATTAAATGTAAAAATAAATAAATAAAACACTACTACTTCCGCCACCAAAAGGAACCACCTTCTGACCCTGTTCAGAAGGTCCTGGCATTTTCATTTCCTACATATGATTAAAAACCAGAATGTTACTGCAAATGATTCTAGTGCAGCCAGTTCTGACAAGAAGCAGGAAAATGTTGGCAATAAATAGTGAATCGTGGGACCAGCAGTTAACATGATGGCTAGGTCGCTGGACTCCCACGTAGTCGACTGCGGTTCGTGTCCTGGACCCGGTGGCTTAAACTCATGCCGGGCGCATGTCCGTGCATACCCAAGATCCTGGGAAGAGAATGGAGGAGAAGGGATTGCGGCGTGGCCATCCCCCCGGGAGGTGATTTCTCGTTTTCTGTCTCTATGTCTCTCTCTGTCTGTCTGGCGAGCATACACACCCTATAGCAAAAACCTCTCAAAAAAAAAAAAAAAAAAAAAAGCGAATCGTGATTGGTGGGCCAAAAGACAATCACAGAATGCCACCCGAGGACCCCGTGAGGCAGCGTTCCATGTCTATTCGGAGAATTACCAAGAAAAGGGGGAACGTAGGCAGGACATGGACAAAGAGCAGGTGATCTGTCTCCCGATAATTCATGATGTTTTCAACGCAAAGATCCAAGCATTATTTGCAGGCACCAATCAAACATGAAATAATTTTCCTCTGGGCTCGTGGATTTTTACTTACTCCTGACATTCTCTGCTCAGAGTCCTGTATCTGGGCACACCACATCCAAAAAGCAGCAGCAACCAAAGTGACCCCCTCCATGGCAGGGGACCGACCGCCCCGGTGAGATGCCCACTGTGTAGCCTGAGCCTGGGAAGCAGGGCTTCTCTCCTGTCCCTGGTGCCTGGAAGGCATACAGGAGGACTGCTGAAATCCCAGAGAGAGAGATTAAAAGAAAACGATAAACATAAGCGCCATCAAGTTCAAGACACTTTTGCAAGAGATGTTAATAGCCATTTAGTTCATCCTAGAAACCTGAAGTCCTAGGAACTTAACCATGTCCATGCCGTCTTCTTCCATTAGTAACTGAAGAAAAATGGGACCCTTTAAAGGTATTTTTTTAAGATTAGGAAACAAAAAGAATTCATAAGGAGATAGTCAAGACTGTGCAGTGGGTGCCTAAGGATTCTCCACTAATACTGGGCTCTGACTGATGAGTGGGATGACCAGGAGCTTGTCACAGTGGAGAAGGACTCTGGTGAAGCTTTCCAGGCCTTTTTCTGCTAAAGCTTCAGCTAACTTTCTCCACGCACTCTCCTAATAAGCAGATACTGTCATTGTCTGGCCCTCTGAAGAGTGAACCAGCAAACGGCCTTGAGCATCCCACAAAATCTGTCGCCATGACCTTAGCTCTTGACTGGTCAGCTTCTTTTTGTCGTGACCACTTTCACCTCTAGGTAACCACTCCTTCTGTTGCGTTTGTCCTCAGGATCATACTGGTGAAGCCACGATTCTTTGAAGAAATCCTTCAGGATCTTGAGTGCACTTTTGAAAAATTTCCATTGAAGGGACCAGCAGTTGGCATAATTGCTATGTCACTGGACTCCCATATAGTCAACCGTGGTTCGAGTCCCGGACCAGGTGGCTTAAACTCATGCTGGCGCATGTGCATGCATGCCCAAGATCCCAAGAGGAGAATGGAGGAGAAGGGATTGCGGTGTGGCCATCCCCCCGGGGGGGCGGGGGATGATTTCTCACTTTCTGTCTCTGTGCCTCTCTCTGTGTTTCTCTTTTTGTTCCTCTCTCTCTAGCAAGCAACTGTGCCCTAAACAAAAACCTGTCAAAAAAAAAAAAAATTTCCATTGAAAACTCTGCTTTTGTCTGGGACACAACAGTTTTGGAGCCCACTGAGCAGAGAGATTGCTCAACTTCAATTTGTCAGTCAGCATTGTGTAAGTTGAACAGTTAGATGTCTGTGGTCCTGGCTCTAGTTTCTGCTGTAACCGCTGGCCCTCTTTAACTAAGGCATGGACAAGATGCATGTTCTTCCTTTTCCTTGTAAATTGATGCAGGTGATCTGCTACTGTAGATGTCATCTTCAACCTTGTTTCTTAGAACTAGTTCTTCCATAATAAATTACTGATGGGGAGGAGGCGTTATCCCCATAAACTTCGTAACTAACCCAGTGACTCGAAACTCATGCCACATGTGTATGTGTGCCCAAGACCCTGGGAGGAGAAAGGGAGGGGAGTGATTGTGGTGTGGCCATCCACCCTCGAGGGTGATTTCTCTTTTTTTTCCTCTCTCTCTAGCAAGCAACTGTGCCCTAAGGAAAAACCTCTAAAAAATACTTTATAAAGCATCAATGATTTCACTATTCTTCCTGCCAAGCTTCACCATAAATTTGATTGCCTTTGCTTCAATTTCAGCAGAATTTGTTCCGATATGAGCTCTTTTCAATCTGCTGTCTCCTCTTTCTTATTGCCTCAAACTAGAGATAGATCCTATATGGACAGGTAGTATTTTACCTTGATGCAAAAATATTTCACAATCCATGCATACTTTTTCAGAGGGTATATTTTCCATGAACCTCTTAGAGATCCCTTGTATTTGTGTGTACAGAGGAGGAGAAAGCACATGTGTGAAACAGAAATGCAGACAGCACAGAGGTACACACTCAGGTGGGGCAGAGAGGCGCGTGGGGAGCAGGAGAGACCCTCACACAGGTGGACGGAGAGGAAAGCGCATTGGAAGATGTCTGGAGCAGGAGGCTGGTGGACAGCGGAGCCCTGAGAGGGCCGGGGTTCCTTTGTGCTTGGTTGAGCCCTGGGGGCGATAAACTGGGATGCTAGCTGTGTGTGTGTCAGGGGACACCTGAAGTCTGTCCAGAGGATTCAGAGTTTCGGTGGAACTTCTTACATCTCTTTTTAATAAAAAGTTAAAGGAAAAAGAAGCCTTGGGAGTCTTTAGATTTGACCAGCAAGGAAATTACAGAGAACCGAGGAAAACTCTCTTCAATATTCCTTTTGAAAGTCACTTCTGAGAGAATACAGGAAAGCTCAGTAGACTCTCTGGGCCTTCCATCAGTCCGCGGCTCACAAAGCCATTTCCTCCCTAACACGCTAGAACCGCAATGATCGTCCACGGCGGAAGGAGGCTAAAGCCTTCATTGTTTGGGCTGCATTTATCCTGAATTCAACGCTAAGGGTCCGTGTTTAGGTACTCGCTCTCACTTACAGTCTTTGTAATGAAACCAGATGAGAAAAATCTCCCAACAGGGATTTTAGATCATTTGTTGTTGTGCAAAAATCTGAAAAATAAAAGAAGAAGTTTTAATTACTACAAAGCCACCGTGAGTTCAGGAACAAAAACATGTTTTGAACCTAATTGTGAATCCAATCCTTTTTTTTAAAAAGTATTTCAGTGAGAAATGGCAAGCAAAGCGAGCTGCTACTTGTGCATTTGGTGTTGAAGATGTACATGCATGTAACTACCACTATTTTGGCACTTTTCTCATCTATGGTCGTCTGAGAGTTATCGTTTATGTCGTTAGAAGGTACAAATGCTAAAGAGAAATCCTTGATAATAAGCATTTGCGCATGTAAGAAATGAATGCATTTCACCGTGGTAAACAGTGTATATGTGTACCAACCACATGCTGTACACCTTGAATATATATCATTTTGATTTATCAATGAAATAGTTTTCATTCTTAAAAAGGAATGACACAATAAAAGACGCATGGCAGGCCAGTAGGTGGCATGGTGGTTGGGGTGCTGGACTCTCACCTGGCCAAGTACGGTTCAAGTCCCAGACCTTGAAATTCTCGCCAGGTGCATTCACATGTGAGTCCAAAATCCCAAGAGGGGAATAATGAAGACGGAATTGAGGCATGGCCCTCCTCCCTGGCCATTCTCACTTTCTCTCTCACTGTCACTCTCTGTGCCTCTGGTGAGCACATGCGCACTATGGCAAAAGCCTTTTTAAAAAGGTTTGAAAAGGCCGTGATTCTCTGACTGCTGCAGATGCGACCCTCTGCCTGCAGGTCAGCTCACTGGCCAGTGACAGCTTTGCTTAATTTCGGCACCTGGGGCACTGCTGTGGTCGCCAGCTCAGCCCGCCCTTTGCTTGTTGGATCCTGAACCACGCCCGTGTCCTGGGGCCAGGACAGGGCCGTAGAAAAGCACACTTCCAAGGCTTCTGTCCCTATGAGATGTGAAAGAAGGTGCGAGGCAGAGGAGACCCCAGCGACAGTATTTCCACTCCCTCCTGCTGTGAGATGCTTCTACCCTTCTAAGAAGACATAAAATTTTCCCTGGTCTTTCCCATTTTGATTTCTTATATGCAGTTTGACTTGCCATACCCAATTCCCAAACTCAGAAATGGGGACAAGAGACGAAATTATGACCACGCCTTTCCCAGACCATAGTATGCAGTGCTCAGCTCTGCTTCACTAGACCCGCCGTTTGGGTGTCCGTGGCTGCCACTGCTGTAGCTGACTTCAGCAAGAACCCTGCCGAGTCGTTTAGCTGGAGCCCCCACTGGATACCTGATCAAATTTCTCATCCCCACCATCCTCCAAATGATAGCTGATCACCCGAGCCAACCTTTAGCAAAGATATTGCTGGACTAAGCTTAACTAGAATTCCTCTGATTTCTGAGTTTCCTCTTAATAAGTTTTCATCTACTGACCCAAGCCTGTTCCCGGGGCATAAATTCCCACCTGCTCATGCTGTATTCAAAGTTAAACCAAATCTCTCTCCCACTGCCTCACTCCATTACAGCGGTGCCTACACTGTCACCATGTGTCCCCTGAATAGTCTTCCTCACTGTGCTTTTTTTTTTGAAGAATTATTTTATTTAACTTCATTTATTATTATATCATTATTATTTTTCAGTTTGATCAGAGATAGACAGAGAGAGAGAGAGGAAGTGAGAAAGCAAGCTACCAGGTCTGAGATTTGAACCGTGGTCTGCCACGTGGGAGTCCAGCGCCTTTAACCACCATGCCACTTGCCGGCCCCCCTCACTGTGCTTTAACAAGCATCGCTGAGGGGCCAGCGGTGGTGTGGTGGGGAAGGCGCTGGACTCCCACATGGCCAACCATGGTTCGAGTCTCAAACACAGCGGCTTGAAACTCATGCAAGGCACATGTGCATGTTTGCCCGGCATCCCAGGAAAAGAATGGAGGAGAAGGGATTCCAGCATGGCCAAAAAGTGAATTTTCACTTTCCCTCTCACTGTCTCTCTCTTTCTCTCTCTCTGTCTCTCTACCAAGTGCGCACAGCCTATGACAAAAACAAAAAAACAAAAGTCATTGAATATTTTTTCTTAAACCATGTGCAGAGAGACGTCACACAGTAATTCTTACACCCCACCGCAAGGCCTAACCCCACATCACTTCCTCTTCCAGAAACATCGGAACACGGCTTCATAGTGGAGAACTAGCTGGTAGTGTATCACACAGTGGAGAACTAGCTGGTAGTGTATCACACAGTGGAGGTAGGAAATTTAGCTTGTTATTTATTTAGAAAAAATTGTCTCTCTCCTAATTAAGATCTATATCCTAAAGGTTCACTGATATTCCTCAATATAAGGATTTATTTAATTTCTTTAATTCTGGAAAATTTCTAGCAATTGTGTAGCCTAAGATTCTCTCATCTGGCTCTTTGGACCTTTGATTAGATGCGTATGCTGGATATTCTTACTCTCTTCTATGTCTCTTAATTCCCCCTTTATATTTTCTTGTCATTTTTTCCTGTGCTACAATATGAATATTTTTTATTACTACCTCTTAATTCAGTTCAATAATTATTTCACAGCTGTGACTGATTTGCAGTTAGGTCATCTATAAATATTCTAAAATTTGTAATTCAGTATTTGGAAATTCTGTTTGGTACTTTTCGAGATTTAGTTCTTAACAGAGTTTCATTAATTTCTCCAAGGCCAAGTTATCCATTATAAACAGTAGGCACAGTGCATAGAGCTCATGGCATTTTTAGGGGTCCACAAAAAATTAATTCCTTATTTTAAAACAGAAGAAAGAATGACTTTAAAACTGAAGAAAGTATTTTCATATATAACATTAATATATTTGTTTTAATATAAGCACAGTTACAAAACATATATGTGTATATATGTATGTGTGTATATATATAAATATATATATTGTGTATATATATATATTTATGCATTTATATTTTATGAAGGAAGGCAAAAGTGCCTCAGATCCATCAAAGTCATAACAAAGCAATATGTCTTTTTCTTAGTCTTTTCCTTCTTTCTTTCATTTTCTTATTTTTTTTT